GTAGAAAGTCATCCAATCGATGAATGTGAGTTGTTATGCTTTACTAGAGGTTAGAGTTAGGTTGGGTGACGCCGAATTACCCTATAATTTGTCAATCCAACTTCAAAGATATATACATCATTCCTATATAATATTTATATTACAATTAATTTTCTACACTTATTTCTCAAAGGACTGAACTAAAATTCATTTTAACATTTGACTGAATTTTAATGAAATTAATATTGGTCTTACAAATTCAGTTTCTCAAAGCTTTGTTTACATGTCAGTTATACCATACATGACTAAAGGAATTATTTACAGACGAAATGACGGTCAATCAGTACAACAGAGTTTACCTTTTCTTACGAAATAAATCATATGATGTTCAATCGAATCATCAGTCAAAGTCGACACTCCAATTTAAAAAAAACGCGAATGATTTGAATTCATTTTACTTTTGTCTTCTTAGAATAAATTGTTCTGTTGACAAATTATAGGGTAATTCGGCGTCACCCAACCTAACTCTACCTTGATTACGCCACCTGCTGAGCACGTTTTTTTTTAATAATATAATTCGCATTGTACGTATAAAATGTATGAACGTGCAGCATCACGTGATAGCAGCATTTTCTTCTGTATTCTGTCTTTTGGATTGTGGCGTCCTCACATATTTCACTTGTTGATCATGACAGTGTTTCTTTTTTTTATCCAGTCTAACATTATGATGAGTCATCTTAATTACCTTCCCGACCGATCAATGATGTAGAAAGTCATCCAATCGATGAATGTGAGTTGTTATGCTTTACTAGAGGTTAGAGTTTTCAATGAAAAAAGATAGTAATACCTACTGTCCTATTGTATAAAGTAAACCTTAATTAATACTATGAAAAAATGAAGAAAAAAAAATTTAATATCTTAGTTACAAGAATATTTTTATATTGATCATTATCGTTCTTGAAAATTCTTAAAATATACTTCAAAAGTTTGTTTTTTGTCGTCACAACATATCAAGTCACGCAACATAAATGCCCATTACTTCTATGTTTTACCATTTAATGAAATCGGTATTTATTCTATGTTGAATGTTGTAAATAGTGTTTGTTCTATTCATCAATAATTTAAAAAATTTATTAAAATGTTCATAATACAAAAAAAAAATTATTTTTGAATTATAAATGGGTAAATGCAGATGTTCATGATATTTTTATTTATGTATTTACTTTTTTTTTCTTGAATTTAGACACTAGATTTATGTTTATTGATTGTTCTATCTACATAAAAATATGATAATTCATTATTTTCAAAATAAAAAAAACAAAAATTAGGTACAATAATATAGATCAATTGTTATAATTTCTTTATCTTGAGTACTTCAAATAATTTCATTGATATTATAAGAACTAATTTTTCGTAAAAATCTTCTATTTTTTGAATTTTAAACTTGATGATCTTTGTAAATATTCGAAGTGAATATAATTATTTCTTTGATTTACATAACCACGTATAATATGAATATTTTTACACGTTAGATTATACAAAATGTTTCTTTTTATCATTATCGTTAGTTAAACCATTTTTCTACACCGAAAAGTACGATAATAAATGCTAAATGAAATCTTGAATAGCTTTATTTCTTGCCTTCTCAAATCCTGATAGCGCCTATTTATATCTATATGAGAAGTGAAAGAGTCCAATAAAATAGAATCTTTGACACATATTATTGTTTTTTCATTTAAAAAAGAACACAAGATCAGAAAAATTTTTCATGAGAAATTTTTGAGAAGTTTGTAAAAATGATATAAATCTTTCAGATTAGTTTTCACAATGGCTGGCATGAGCAAATTACCTGCTGTTTATCGACATGGTTTTGTGTTAGGTATAATATAATTAATTCTATATTATAAATATTATTTGCTTTTTTTCTCAGCATCATCCATGGCTTTGTCTTATTGGATAACAGTCAAATGGCTTCGTGAACGATCTCAACAGTTAGTTGTTTTTATTTCATGTAGAAATTTTGATTCAAAATTGAATTTTATAATTTAGACTATTAGCAAAAGATGTTAATTCATCTATAAAATCTGTACGTTTTCACATTTTGTTATAGTACAAGAAAAAAAAAAAAAAAAAACAATAATTTGATTATTTTTTTTCTATTTAGCATTTAGCGAAGAAAGATCGAAATGTTGCTGTTGACAAGAAATTTTTTCGGTATGAAAAATCTAATAGAGAAAAAGATCGCCCTCAATTTTATAAAATAATTTTTCTCTTTCATATTAGGAAGCTTATTCTTTTACTTAAAATTCTTGTTCCAAAAGTATTCTGTGGCGAAGTAAAAATGTTTTCCAAAAAAAAAAAAACAAAACACAATACATATGTATTTATTTGTTTTTTGTCTTCAGAGTTTTTTCCTTGTATTGGTTGCTGCATCACTTGTAGCACGTACATATGCTGATGTATGGATGATTAAAAATAGTACATCTGTTGAAAGTGCCATTATTGGACGTAGTGCAACATTATTCAAAGAATGTCTTGGTAGATTTGCCTATGCAATGCCATTGGTAATAAAAAATATAAAAACGAATATATTTGATAATTTTATTTTTCTGGTTTTTTTAGATTGCATTTGTTAATAATGCTCTCAAAGTATATATTGAATTGTTATTCAATTAAATATAATTCTTTTATTTTTATATAGTATACTCTTGACGAACTTAAATTACGTTTTCGAAAACGTTTATCATTATATTTATATGATCAATACCTTAAGTATGAAAGGGCAGGAGGTGTATAAGATCCGAAATTGGCTTAAGACTTAAATTATTAAAATTTGTGTATCATTCGATGCAGAATTTTACGTTGACGAGAGAACTATTCCAAGTGATTTGAAATCCTCGTGAAAAACAGAGTCGATTTATGTTTATTTCAAATATTTTCACGAACCTTTTTTTATCGAAAATTAAACTATGATCCTCTTGAGAGTCCAGCCAAAAAATCTAGTATACCGCTGACTAACAATGCAATAACGAATAAAAAAATACTGATAATTTGTTTTACTAGACTTTTTTCTATTGGTAATTGCTGCAGAATTGAATGCTCTATCTAATGAAAACAATATTGCTGTAGAAAGTAAGGTTAATATTTCTGACCTTTATTATCATAGATTATTACAAATCGATTCAGCGTGGAATTCTGCAAATTTTAATAATCTAAGCCATGAGCAGATTTGTGATCTTATGCATCTCTGTTTTTTAATGAGAGATGAATATTTAAAAAAAAAAATTTTATTTTTTATTTTGAAAGAGGATATACCTATTATCAAATTAATACACTGGATAGTCGTATTTCTAATATTGATCAATTATTAACACAAGACGTTGAAAAATTTTGTACAAGTGTTGCTGATCTTTATACGAATATTTCTAAAGTATCTTTATTTTTTTTTGAAATAGGAAATTATATTGTTTTTTTTTTTGTTTAGCCATTTTTGGATATAATTATTTATGCAAGAAAACTCTCAGGATCAATAGGTCCAACTGGACCATCTTTATTAGTACTTTATTTAGTTTGTTCGGGTCTTGTTTTAACACGGTAAAATATTTTGATAATGTATAAAAATGAATTTTTATATTTGAAAAAAAAACAAACAACAGATTACGTCGTCCTATTGGACATATGACAGTTGCTGAACAACAATTTGAAGGTGAATTTCGTTATGTTAATTCACGTTTAATAACAAATTGTGAAGAAATTGCTTTTTATAATGGTAGTCGTCGAGAAAAAATGATTATACGTGATGGTTTTGAACGATTGGTATAATTTATTTTATTTGAAAAGAAATACAAATTTTAATATTTATTTTCTTTAAGATTAAACATTTAAGAAGTTTAATCATCTTTCGATTCGTTATGGGTTGTATTGATAGTGTTGTTGCTAAATGTAAGACAAACGAAATATTTGAAAATTTTACTTGATTTATATGTCTAGATGTATCAACATGTGTTGGATATTATGTTGTTAGTCGACCATTCTTAGATCCAATGAATACAAGACATACAAATAGTACATACAATGAAGTTTTAGAGGTAAAAAAAAATATAATCAGAGAGCTGCGAGATATTTGCAGGGTTAAGATTTGAAGCACAATGCAACAGCTGTTGTTACTCATAGGAAGATAGTTTTATTTTTATAGTTTAACAACAACGTATCTTTTAACTATCTTTCTGGTGTTTTAAGACTTGGTAATAAATTTCGTTATTTTTACGATTTTTTGCGATACTTTTGACTTTTTAAGGGAAGATTGTAGAAAATCCAGTAATTTCTTATATTGTTCAGAACTTTGTGCTCTTTAAAATGGCATCGTTTAAAAAAAATAGGCTTCTGGAATCTAAAGACTGTCGTGTCCTGTGTTTTAGAAAGTTTGCCATCGTAGTTTATCAATGAAATCTTGGTATAGAATACATTAGATAGAAAACTGTATTAGTTATAAAAGTTGCTATTAAAATTTGAGTTAGATAATTAACATTATAGAGAAAAAAAAAACAAAAAATACGTTGTTGTTAAAGTTATCATTTCTATATGTCAATAAGCATTTTATATCGTATTTCGTAACAGGAAAATTGCGGTATAGGATTAGAAAGACATTACCATGGAAACATCTTTGCAACACTCTTCTTGTGTGTCAGATACTGAACAGACGTTGTTGATATGAGATCTGTAATTGTATATCAGTAAGGTCTCTTTATAATGTATGAATTAATTCTTTTTTGTATTTATGGAGAATTAAATCAAAGGGTAGCAAAAGAAATGTATTCGAAGATAGATAAAATAAAACAATTTTCTTTGTGATGAAGAACAGCGGCTACAGTCTTTCTCATTTTAATCTTATAGGAATTGATCTAACAGCTTTTTTCGATCAATATCTGGTAGAGATAGAATCGGTTCGTGTTTTTTCGGGATGAAACTGATTTCATCTCTGAGATCTAATATCCTTCATGCGTATGGCTAAATGAAAGATCAAGGTTTCAACTATTTATTTATTTCTGCTAAAAAAGTAATCAATGTGATATTAAATCCGTAGTTGAAATATTGTACCTGAATAGGCTAATGTTAACTCTTCTCAATTGAAATTCGAAGGTATCTGAAATTTCGTTTTTTCTAGGATTATTATTCATCTGGTCGAATGCTTATGCGACTTGCTGAAGGTATGTTATGTTAAATATTTTATTTAAAAGACTATTCTTTTTTCTTTGTATTTCTAGCGGTGGGTCGTTTGGTAAGAGGTTTATATTGATTATTATTATTAAATTGAAAAGATCATTGATTTTAGGTTCTTGCTGGTCGTGAATTAACAAAATTAGCTGGGTAATAAGAATTTGAATAGTTATTATATAAAATTAAATTTTATGCATTTTAATTAGTTTTACAACGCGTGTTACAGATTTAATTGGAGTTTTATCGGATGTCAATCAAGGTAATTATGTTCGTACTGGAATTAATAATACTACCATCGAGAAGAAAAATGATGAAGAAAGAATTCGTACACAAGATGGAATTATAAAGTAAAAAAACAAATATCTATTCTTGTGAAAATGAAACAAAAATTCATATTTAGATTTGAAAATGTTAAACTAATGACACCAAATGGTAATAAAACAATTTATAGATAAAAATTATTTTATAAACAAGAAAAAAAAAAAAAAAACGTATTTTATAGGTGATGTTTTAATTGAAAATCTTAACTTTACAGTACGATCAGGTCAAAATGTTATTGTTGTTGGACCAAATGGATGTGGAAAATCAAGTTTATTTCGTACAATTGGTGAAGTAAGTAATAATATAATTAATTAAATCATATAATTTAATTATTATTTATAATAGTTATGGCCACTTTCAAGTGGAATATTAACAAAACCAGGTAGTGGACATTTGTTTTATATTCCTCAAAAACCATACATGACAATTGGTACATTACGTGATCAAATTATTTATCCCGATTCACAGGGTGATATGCGTCGTAAAGGAATTAAAGATGAAAATTTAAATGAATTACTTGATAAAGTTCAATTAACATATTTAGTACAACGAGAAGGAGGTTTTGATGGTGTACAAGATTGGATGGATGTACTTTCAGGTGGAGAAAAACAACGTATTGCTGTAAGTATGAGTTCGAGTAATTCTCTTGTTAGAGAAAACTATATCAGACTTTATTTGCATTAAATCTAAAGCTTCATAAATACTTATATAAGCGATAGTATAGTATCACCGTTACCAGTCTATACGAGATAATTACTTTTTTTTGGTATTTTTTAGAAAAAATCTTGCGAATGAAAAGAGTAATATTCACGTCCACACTTTCAAAATCTTGACTGTTTGTTTTTTAAAATATGTTATATTTATTTTTTTTAATTAAGATGGCACGTCTCTTTTATCATAAACCTCAATTTGCTATTCTTGATGAATGTACAAGTGCAGTTTCAGTTGATGTTGAAGGATTTATGTATGAATATTGTCGAACAGTAAGTATCTATTGATAGAAAACTTATATTTATATAATTAAATTATATTATATTTAAGGCTGGTATAACTTTATTTACCGTTTCACATCGAAAAAGTTTATGGAAATATCATGAAGTAATATGAGAATTCTTTAAGAAAGTAAAAAAAAAAAATAATAATAATTTTGTTTTTTCATATTATAGTATTGCTTATATATGGATGGTCGTGGAAGTTATTCATTTAAACCAATTGATGAACATACTTCTGAATTTGGATCATAGAAGAAAGACTAACGGGGCTGGCTCGACAAAAAGAGAGAAGTGTATAACTCTTCCAATAATGAAAAATTTTCGTTTTTACCAAGCAAAATCGGAAATTTATCTTGCATTCTGCAAGAGAAAACAAAACTTTTATTCCTTCCTTCGAAAAATTTGCAACATTCCCTAAAATTAATTGCCTTGGAGTCAGCCTTGAAGAAGTGTATTTTTTTCGTATTTTGTTTTAACTGTGATTGTGTTTAATTACAAAAAAAAAAGTCATTGTAGCAAAAATCAAACTATTTCAATATTACGAGAAAATAAATTTTCATGCTTCTCTTATCTATTATCATATATATAAAATGAACAAAAATAGAAAACACTAATTATTTGTAATACGAATTCATATTTTATACTAATCAACATATTATTTCATTTTGTATTAGAAAAAAAGGAAAATGCAATGTACTTTACAGATATATAAGTATAATGCTTCAGCTATCTCTTCTTGTATTCATGAATATTCAAATAAAAATAAATGCTTATCTATTAATGGAAGTGTAAGCCGATCGGTCTAGCCACTGCTAATACTTTTGGTGATCCAGACGAACCGCTGTCAATGCTTTCAAGGTTCAGTGACCGCCAGGACAAAAATACATTACAGATTTTTAAATATTCAGGATCAGTTTTTCTGGGATGTACTTGCCTAATTTCTTATCATTACGTTTTCCATTGGCATTTTCTCTTGTTTTTTTTTCCCCCCAAAAGTTCACGAAACGAAGAAGATTGTTAGTTTGTATATATTTAATATTCAATTATTGACTTTCGAATTGATTATATATTATTTTTCTTGATGAACAACATTTTTTTTTCTCAAAAATAATTATATCAACATCGATTTTTGACAATGAAATGTACTTCTGTTAATAATTTAAATCTAATATTAACTTATTTTCAAATTTATATCCAATGGTTTTACATATTATCGTAAATTATATTGTGTTTGTTATTGCTGAATGATCATCGTCTTAATCAATGAATTATTAAAAGATTGAAATTCAATATTTCTATTCTTATGCTATTTATGTTTGTTTATTTATTTAATTTTAGAATAAATATTTCTTCTCTTTTTCATTTCAATAAATATATTAATCAATTTTATTTTCTGACAGATGTTATGTTGATGACAGTCTGGAAAAAAATAAAAGTCATGAAAGTACAAATCATATTTGAAACTATCAGATATTGTTTGACTTTATATATTAACAATGAGTAGATCTTGAAATAGTCTTGAAAGAATCAATATTATTGTCTTATCTATTTGCACTATTTCTTTGCTTAGTTTAAAGTGTTGAAACTTTAAACACAAAATCTTGTTTCTTCTATGGTAAGTTTCATTTATTAGAATCTAAAACCTTCAAAATGCTATTATTTAAATTCGGTATTGTTATAGTACTTTAAACAAAAAAAATATTATTTTCTTAGTTCGATGTCATGAGAATAATTGTGATATTGTAAAAATCTCAGAGGTCAGAATAGAAAATAACAAACATCCAAGCTATAGTAGATTTTTCGTATTTTTCTAAAGATTCATGTACACCTCAAAATATGGATATCAAGAGTCGTGCATATTTCTTCGTTAAACATATTTTATAGCTTCTCCATGCAATAGAAAAATCCGCATATTCTATTGTAACTTATCTATTTTCATAATTTTTAATTGAATGAATTCTTGAAAAAGCTTTTGAATGTTTAGAAAGAGAATTTTAGAGCTTTAAAAATAATATTGATCTTACTTTTTTAACGTTGTTTTTTCTTTGAGTTCAAAAACCCTAATAACTAAGCATATTTCGATAAAGTGCCAAATTTTCGAGAAAATCAAATAAATGAAATTTTCAACTGAAGGTAAATATTTAGTTATTATTTATTCTGCATATAAAATTCAATTCCGAGAATGATTAAATAAATATTCAAAAAAAAAAACATGCGTCAGATGTCTTGTCATTTTCTATATTTGAAAAATCATAAGGGCTTGAGCAAATATTTTTATTTGTTCACATATTAGATATACATTCAATAATAAATTATGACAACTATTTATATAATAGTCACGTTTTCAAATATATCTATATATGTCACACGATATAACTAGATAACTGCATAGGATTTTATTTTGAACAAAATCTTTTTGTATAATAATTTCTTTTAATAATAAAAAATAAAATCAAAACGAAATATCTATGTTCGTTTTCTTTTTATTTCTTTTACAATTATCTATTAAATAAAACGTGATGTTTGTTTAAATGATGTCTATGTTTAACCTTCATTACTGACTTATATCAACTGGTTGTCTCGAACAAGTAATGATGTGTAATTAGTATTTTATCTCAAATGGTTCAAATAAAAAATAAAATGAACTTGTTCGATTATAAATATAAATCAAATGTCAGTTTTACATTCTTTTCAACGTGATAAATATGAAATTAGTAGCCTCGGATGTTGTTTTTCCGTTGCTGTTTGATTAGCTTATCAACATATATCTATAAACTCCGATATATGAGTAATATAAAAACAATATGAAAAAGAAAAATGTATTGGACAACATACTATATAAAATAATTGATGTAAGTGATTGACTCTTTCGATATTTGTTTATCTTAATCCCTTTTTTCTTTTCGTTTTTCGTCTGTCATTAAGACGAACAACAATTATTTCTGTTTTCATTTGCACATATACTATTTTCAAATCCTTCTTTTAGGTATTTTAAATAAATATAACATCAGAAACAAGATTAGAATTATTCACAAATTAATAATCAATTAAAACACAAGCGCATATATATATATGTGTTTCGATGTTGATTATATTAAAATAATTTATTATATGCACAGAATAAATAAAATATTCTATTTTTCTATTTCATAGAAAATTATTGATTGATATTTACTGTGAATAAATAAATGAATAAAATACATGACTCTGATTCAGTGAGAAAAACACCATCAGGAATAATATGAAGTAACTATTGCTCTATTCAATGAAAACATATTTCTATTTTAGAAAATAATTTTCTTCTTTTTTTTTTTTGTCTATCATTTATTATTCATCACTCATGCCTATTAATGAAGACTATACAATTAAAGTAAAAACAAAATCACATTCATATAATTTAAATAATAATTCAATGGATATTACAAATGAATATCCAATGTCAGAAAATCCTACACATCATCAAAAATTAACTAAAACTGAATATTCTTCAATTGGTTCATCTCATAAACTTAATTTATTACTTCAACGTTCACTTCGTTATTCATATCGACAACGATGTTGTGGATGTTGTCCAACAATACTTTGTGAAGTATTATTTCCTCTTATTATAATGGCATTATTAGCATTAGCTCGTTATGGATCAAATGCACTTATTAGAGAAATGAATGAAAATCCTAATTCGGCTTCAACAAGTTTTGGTCGTTCTCTATGTTCACAAAATATGAGTACAATAAAAACAACATTATCAAAAGATTTATTTTCAAAATGTTTTAAATTTCCACCAAGTTATAAAAGACATGAATGGCCTTTCTTATATTCAAATAGAACAAATATTATATTTCAACCAATGACAAATGAAACAGAAGAACTTGTTACACTTGCTAAAACACGTTTGACAAAAATGAATTGTAATAATACTAAAATATCGTAAGTTAATATCATATATATTTATCATACAAAAATAAAATATTTTTATTCAAAGGCATCAAAGTATAAATGATGTAAATGATACTTATTTACTACAAAATGAAGAAGAAAATACAATTATTATTGATTTTGGTTCAACATTGAATCTTAAAAATGAACATAATATTGATTGTTAGTATTGAAATAATTAATAAAACAATGAATGATGATCATTTTGTTTTTAGATAACATAATGGTTCGAATGTCGAATGTTTTTACAAAAAATACACCTGTTGATATGTCATTTATATCATTTTTACATCCAAGTAAATAATATAACTTGAATATTATTTAGTAATATATTTGTTTAGCTTTTATTCTTGATCGATCGAATATAATGGATAATAATAATCAAGAAGGTTCAGAATTACCTGAATTTACTGATGTAAAAATGTTTATTGATTCATTACTTATTGGTTATCAGACAAATAAAACAATTGAATTTGAACTTGAAAGAAGTCCTATGATTTGTACACCAGTTCGTAGAGATTCTATTTTTGGTACATTAGAATTAATATAAATTTCGATTGATTATTTATTTTCAATTCTTTTTGTTAAGAATCTGGATCAATACTTGTCACAACAATTTTGATTTTAGTTGATTTTATCTTTATTATTCCGTAAGTGATATAATATGAAGTGAATAAAAATTATTTCGTTACTTTTTTTTTTATTTATTAGATATTTAATTCTTTTAATAAGTTTAATTCGAGAAAAAAATGCTAAAGTTAAAGAAATTCTTAAAGTACTTGGAATTGAACCTATTTTAAATAATATTGCTCAATCAATACGGTAAAAATGAAAGAAATTTTTCTTGAAAAAAGAAAAACAAAACAAACTACATTTCAATTAATATTTTTTTTTTGCTAGAACATTGGTTATTCTTTGTCTTTTAACTCTACTCTTATGTATTGTATATAAATTAAAATTAAAACCAGATGCATTTTTTAATACAGTTAATTTTGGTATTCTCATTCTTGGTTATCTAATATATGATTTACAGTTAATATCATTTTGTATAATGAATGTACAATTATTTGATAAAAATGTTCGTGCAATATTGGGTACATTTTTAATTTATGTGGTATCGTTAATTGTTTTTCCATATAGTATTGTATGGCCAACGGCTATACAATATGTATTAATATTTTTCAGCCCTTATATTGCTGCACATTCATTATTTCAAGTGAGATTTTTCTTTTTTCAATTTTTTGATAAGAAAATAAAATATTGTTTTCTTTTCCTAGCAAGCAATTTTACATGATTTAGCAAAAATAAATGTATCAGTATTTCGAACGATTTATCGTAATGTACCAATGTATTTTCCAACGTTGATTATTATGATTGCTAGTTGTATTTTCTATTGGGCATTGTCCTGGTATTTGGAAAAAGTATTTCCAGGTAAAGAAATATGAATAAGTAATAATAATAGTAATTCAAAAATATAAATTTTTTTCTTCTATGATTGATCACTAATTATTAACCATCATGAATCCTTAGAATAATTCATATCGAAAAGTAATAATGTTGAAATATGTGTTCTTAAGATAGTTCTAATGTTTGAAACTATTAACATGAAAAATAGAAACATAAACAAGCGATTACCGAAAGGAATACAACAGTATCAGCCATTTGGCTAGGAATAGTGAAAGTGTAGGCGGGATTGTGTTCTCTTTACTCTCACTTACCTATATCCTTTTATTTTCTGTCTGATTTGAATTTAATGTCTTCGTGAATTTTCGACCCAGCTTTAAGTATATACCGAAAGATAAAAAAAATTGAATATTAACTTGAAATTTTGCCCATAAGTAGGATCCATAGAAAATCCTCAATGTTTCAGCTGAGAAGAATGTAAAAGAAAAAAACAATTGCTTCTTAAAGACATGATACAAAAAGTCGAGTTTACTTCAAAATTAAATATCTCTGAAACTTTCAAAATATTCTACAAATCATTCGGTGTATTTATATGCAAAACTTCACATCGAAATAATTTTTTTTTGTTTCTACGATATATATTTAAAGCTGAGTTGAAAACTCAGTAAAATGCTCCTAAGTTGACTTCAAAAACCTATGAGGAGTAATGCTTTTAGAATTTTACTAGTGTCCTACGAGGTTCAATTTGAACTCAAATGATGAGTTTCAATTCGGTTTATTTCTCTTATTTTCTAATACCTTTATTTAAGTAAAGTTTTTCATCAGTCAATTATTAATTTAATATATTGATCGAAATTTTCCTTTATTGAAAATACTTTAGGTATCTATGGTATTCCACTAGAATGGAATTTTCTATTTAAACGAGATTATTGGCGTTCAGAAACATTTAATTCTCATAATCATTCATTTTCTAATCGTAATACATCATATTCAAAAACAAATTCTAATGAAAAATCTATTGTACATGTTCAACATCTGATTAAAAAATTTGGTCCTGATAAAATAGCTGTTAATGATGTTTCATTTAATTTATATGAAAATCAAATAACATCATTACTTGGACCAAATGGTTCTGGAAAGACAACAATATTTAATTGTTTAATTGGAATATATAAACAAACATCGGGTAAAATAACAATTGAAAATGATGATGGAATAGAATTTGATACTCGAACAAATATTGATATGTTAAGAAAATCGATGGGTTATTGTCCTCAACATGATATTCTTTTTGATTTATTAACTATAAAAGAACAATTAGAATTTTATGCAACAGCTCGAGGTTTTGGAAAAAATAAAGAAAAAATAGCTAAAGAAATGCTTTATTTAGTTGATCTTCAAGCTTCAAAAGATCTTTATTGTAATTCATTATCTGGTGGAATGAAAAGACGTTTATCATTAGCTTGTGCATTTGTTGGAGATACAAAAATTATTCTTCTTGATGAAGTAAATATTGGAGTTTTTTTTTTTTTTTCAAAATAAATTTCAATATATATTTAGCCATCAAGTGGACTTGATCCATCTAATCGTCGTTTATTATGGGATTGGTTACGTTCAATGAAAGAAGGTAAAACACTTTTATTAACAACACATTTTATGGAAGAAAGTGATGCATTATCCGATCGTATTATAATTATTGCTAATGGAAATATTAAAGCTGATGGAACATCAGCTAAATTAAAAGAACAATATGGATCAGGTAGATAAAACAAAAAAACGCTCAAATATTTCGTTTACTTAAAAAATAAAATAATTAATTTTAGGTTATAAATTAGTTATTAATAAACAAAATGGTTGTCATACAAATGATATTAAAAATGAATTATGTCAATATTTACCAAAATTAAAAATTGAAACAGATATATTGGATGGTGATGTTGTTTTTCGAACAAATGAACAACCAAATGAATTATTTATACAAGCATTAAATCAACTTGAAATTATGAAAAAAGAAAATCGAATTAAAAATTATGGAATACAAAATAGTACTATGGATGATGTATTTTTAAAAATAACACGAGATACAAAAAATGATAATGAATCAAATTCAACATCAATCGATATTGATACAATCGGTTTGTAATTAAGTTTTATTTATTTAATAATAAAGATATTTTATAATCTTAAAAATGTTTTTCAGTAAATTTTCAATTTAATTAAATTGAAGTTTGTATAGAAAGCATCTATTTTTACAAAGACAATCTTTCCTTTTAAGTTATAGTATATTAACTGTTGATGTAATATTAAGAAGCTTTAGTAAACAAATTCTTGACATCTGATAGCGATCACAAAACTAATAGACATTCCTTTGGGTCATTATTATACATAATTAATGTAAATATCTTTCCTTTCTACAATATTAACATAAAAAATCCATTATATTATAATATCGGATATAACACAATGAATTTTATCTGTTTTATTCTTTTACTTTGAATTTTTTCTGATTATAATTAGAAATGATTTATTATTTTTCTAGACAAACAATGTCATTATGTATTTAATGATCGACAATTTCTTACTGGTATTCTTTATCATTTAAATCAATTTTATGGTTTAATAATAAAAACTTCATTTGTACGTTATCGTCGTTGGATATTAACATTTATTGTTTTATTATTACCTATTTTATATAATCTTCTATCAAATTTAATATCTCGTAGTGGAGATGAAAATGGAATATTTAAAATGAATTTAAATTCTCTTAATCCACAAACAATTTTATATCATACAGATCCAATTATAGAAAAATATTTTCGTGCATCTATTGATGGTTCAATACTTGAACAAGCATCAAGCAATATATCGGAAATGAATCAAAATATTTGGCGTAAGATTTTTTTTTTCTATTATATAATGAAACTAATCTTTAACTTCTTATTATTTCTAGAAAAACGAATGGATCATCCATATACATATACAGATATTTATCTTGGTTTTAATATTCCAAAACCAATTGAAAATAAATATACAATTCAAACATTATCGTCAAATTTAATATCTGGTCATGAATTTGTTTCACTTGCATCAAATACATTTTATAAATATATATTAAATGATACGAGTGCATCAATTCAAACAACACTTATTTATAAAAATATTGGAAATTTTACAGCAAAACCATCTGTTGGTACTTTAATGAATGTATTAAGTACAGCATCATGTTTTCTTAAATTATTACCAACATCACTCATGCTTGATGTGTATGTAATATGAAAGAAACAAAAATTTATTTTAATTCTTTTTGTTGTCTAGATTTATATTTTATATTTTATTCTTTTATACAACTGTATTTTTAATCAGTGAACGAAAAGATAGCTTTTTATCATTATTGAATATTAGTGGTCTACAGTAAGTGAAGTTTCACTTGATTTTGATTACTGTCTAGTAGATGAGGATACTAGTTTATTCTTGTATTATTCCTATCATAGACATAAAGATGATTAAATCGAAATTTTATTTACACATTGATATATTATACTACAGGTATTTTTATTTGAATTGATATTTCGCCCATAAATAGGCTCTAACGAGATTAATAGAAATCTATAAGAGTTCATTTATATGCACTGTTCTTTCCAAGTTATTATAATTTTACTCAAAGTATTTGTAGAAAATTTATATCACGAAATTTTAACTTGAAATGTTTCTCAAATGGGACAAATCATTTTTTATCTAGGTTCCGATCAAAAAAAAATGTTTAGTTCTGGTTTCGTACTTATCTCTAATGTCCTTCTTCTTGAAGATCCATGACTTTTTTAAAATCTACTAATCCAACATTTATTCTACAAAGATATCACTCTCCCAATGAAAACATGTAGGACCTAGTTCCGGTCTCCGCGGGATCAGAACCATCTGACCCATATCTAACGGGTGGCCCAGAATAAATGAAGGTCTCAGTATTTTGACTATAACTTTTTTTCTTTTTGATCTTTAGGGCTGCTTGTTTTATCAACAGATGCAGCGTGAAAAGCTCTACAAGTTACATTAAAAACCTTATTTNTAACGTATGATCGAAAAGTTTTTGGACAAAATATTTGTTCACTTTTGACCAACTAGAAAGTATTACGGACGAGTCAAAAGCTATATGTTAGAACCAGAATGTTGTGCTCTCTTCAAATATGGGCTCAGAAATTTTCTCCCAATTTTGTTCGAGAATAGTGAAATAACCTTTGAGAAGTCCAAAAAATGAGTTTGGACGGAACTTGTTGGTTGAAATTCGTGATAAAAATGTGATGTTGATTCGTTTGAACACAAGTAAAATTCGATATGAAAACGATGAAATCAATGAAAGGACTATTTTATTGCGAAATATTGCTCGATAGAGAACAAAACAAATAAATAGTCCTTTCATTGATTTNGGGCTTAAAAATGTTGTATCTTTTTCTTCAAACCCAGTGACGATCTTTTTGGAAAGACCTGAAAAATGATTACTCGTTTTTTAATGATGAAGTAACATGGTTTTCTCCACCCTATAAGCTCTTTTTCGAACATGCTAAAAATTGTTCAACTCGGTCATTTTGTACAGCAAACAATTCTCTACAAAGTGTGATGTTGACCTAAGCTGTAGCTTTTACTTAACTGTAGTCACAACCATTTTGTCAAGATCTCTTTTCGAAGTGGAACAGTTTTGGTCAAAAAGTCGGTTTTTCAAAAAATAACTATTCCGGAAAAAGAAAAATTGAGGGGTTTTGTCAAAAGAAAAAAAATGTGGAATGGTGCATTTTGTAGAGCAATTTTTGATCTACAAGATGATCTATAAATAAAGACCCCAACTTTTCGTTTCGAGTTGTAGTCGTAAAAATACAAACGTGTATGGAAAAACTCTCCGTCCAAACTCATTTTTCGGACTTCTCAAAGATTATTTCACTATTCTCGAACAAAAATTGGGACAAAATTTCTGAGCCCATATTTGAAGAGAGCACAAAACTCTGGTTCTAACATATAGCTTTTGACTCGTCCGTAATACTTTCTAGTTAGTCAAAAGTGAACAAATGTTTTGTCCAAAAACTTTTCGATCATACGTTAGAACAATACTCTTTTCTTCTTTTGATTTCTTGACTAATTTTTTTTATAGTTCATAACTATTGTAGACAGCTTTGTACTTCTCTACTGAAGTACTGTTCCAAGAAGATTCATGTGAATCTAGAAGAAAACTGCATCAAATGTTAATCCCTTTTAAGATGAGTCTTATCTCATCAGAGATGCCTATAAGGATACAGATAGCATCAAAAGCTTCATGTTCATGAGTTCTCTTTATATCACCTTGCTTTATAACTAAAAAAAATCGATATTGTGAATACACTCTAATGCTAATGTTCTGAGAGACATCCACATAGCGATTTTCACTTTCTAAAAACGAGCTAATCGACGTTTCTTTTTTGTTCTATAATTTTGTAATGAATTATCTTATGATTAAGTGACATATTCAATTTTCTGATTTTAATTTTTTTTAGGGTGGTATAACAATATGTTTTCTATTAATAATTTTTCATTTTATAAGTATTATTATTCCAGTAGTAACAATGATTATTGAAAGTAGATCTATACAAAAACTTTTATATTGGTTATTTAATGTAATATCACCAAGTATAAATGCACAAGTTATAATAACATATCTTTTAGCAAAAAAAAGTCGATTATGTAATTTAATTACTAATCCGTTGAGTACGAGTAATCTTCCAACGAAACTTTTAAAATCAATTGGTGATGATACAATTGAATGGAATATTGGAATACTTGTTTTACATATATTATTATTCTTATTAATATTAATTATAATTGATAGTGGTTTATTACAATTATCATTTTCATGTTTATATAAATCAAATTTTGATGAAAATCAACTTGATGATGATGTTTTAGCTGAACGTCATCGAGTATTAAACAATGAAACAAATTCATCTCATAATGAAGAACATATTGATCATTTAACAGTTAATAATCTTGTTAAATATTATCCAATACGTAAAGTTTTAGCTGTTAATCATTTAACATTCGGTGCACGACGTGGTGAAGCATTTGGTTTACTTGGTTATAATGTAAATATGAAATTTTGTTTTGTTCAAAGAAGTACAAACATAAAAAAAAATCTTTGTAATGAATTTAAATAGGGTGCTGGAAAAACAACAACATTTCGTATTGTTGTTGGTGATTTAATGTCAACACAAGGCACAGCTTATATTGATGAACAAAATGTTCATCGTCGAATAAGATCAACACGTCATTTAGGTTATTGTCCACAAGAAAATTGTAGTATGGATTTTCTTACTGTTCAAGATAGTCTTTATTTATTAGCACGTATACGTGGTATTAAACCTTCACGTATAAAATCTATTGTTGAAACAATAAGTTCATTATTTTTACTTAATCCATTTTTAAATAATTATATACATGAATTAAGTGGTGGCACAAAACGTCGATTACATACTGCTATAGCATTAATTGGTAAAATAGATTCAAATCAAATCATATGATAAATTTATTGTTTTTATTTAGGACCTCCATTAGTTGCTATTCTTGATGAACCAACAACAGGTGTTGATCCAAATGCTCGACAACAAATGCAAGAAATATTTTTAAATGCTATTAAAGCAAAATTAACTATTATTTTAACTAGTCATTCAATGGATGAATGGTAAAAAAAAAAAAGAAGACATTCAAAAACTCAATCGATTTTGTTGTATCAAAAATAACTCGTGCATAAAATTAGCTACCGATCGACAATTTTCAGTTATTTGAAAAAGAATAGAGCACTTTATCAATCTATGTATTTATGCAAGATTGGTCTCTATAGGTGATTCTGTTGTCAAGTTATACACATTCTTTTGAGACCTCTGCAATATGGGCAATTCATTACTAATCGATTTGAAATAAATTGCGATAGATCGTTTTGATCATGTTCATATAAGCGTTTGTATTTGTTTTCCTTTGTAAAGTAACATGAAAAAGATCAAAGCAAAATTTTTAAATCGCCAATTTTAATTAAGTATTACGTGAGAACAATCGATTTTTATAATATCGATTTGATTACCTCGTGTTACTTTGAAAAAGAAAACAAATACCGTCCCCTATGTCAACAGGATCAAAATCTTCTATACAAATTCACTTCAAATGGACTAGTGGTCAATTGGCCAACTGCGGGGGTCTCAGAAGAATGTGTTTGACTTACTAACAGAACCATCATCCATAGAGACCGATCTTGCGTAAATACATAAGTTGATTAAGTTATTTATTCTCTTTCGAATACTGAAAAGTGCATATTGCTAACTACTTTTATGCCTGAGTTATTTATGATACAACAAAGTTCATTGACTTTTTCAAATAGATAATAGAATGTTTGTTTGTTTTTTTGTCTATTTTAGTGAACGTGTTTGCAATCGTCTTGGTATTATGGTTCGTGGTCAATTAGCTTGTTTAGGTACAATACAACATTTAAAATCAAAATTTGGCCAAGGTTATACAATTGAAATAAAAGTTCGTTCAATTGACAATGATACAAATACAATAACAATACAAAATGTTCAAGCATTTTTATTATCTCAAAAACAATATCATGTTGAAATTAAAGAAACAACACAATCAACTGGTTTATTTCAAATTGGAGGTAGTACACCAGCTGAATTATTTCAATTACTTGAAGAAAATAAACAAAGATTAAATATTGAAACATATACAATATCACAAACAACACTTGAACAGATATTTTTATCGTTTGGAAAACAAATTCGTGCGACGGATGAGTAAAATATTGTATCCATATTTAGACGAAAAAATATCATATCTATTGTTTTTTTTTTCGTTGTTAATAAATATTTTTCGTGCAATCATTGAAGCTTTTTTAAATACAGTTAATTCATAATCAGTATCTAATTGATGATAACGAGCAAAAGAAGATCTCGATAAAACTAGAAAAATTCATAACCATGAGCCTTAGGAGTCAATTTAATCACTATTTTATTGAACTTTCGATTCAACTGTAGATATTTTCTGAAAACTCAAATAATGAAATCTTAACCTAAAGCTCCGCCCATAGATAGGTCTGGTAACTCTAGGAATAATTATCTGATGTAAACGATGAGTTTTTGAAAATTCAATATGTCGACAAAGTAACATTCTTTTCCACTAAAACTTTCAGCATATTTCCACGAATTATTAGACCTATCGATGGACAATATTTCAGATCAAAATTTCATTCCTCGATATTTCAGTAAATACCAAAGGTAAATCAAAATTTCAACAAAATAAGATCTTCGTGACTTGATTTATCTATATGTAGCTGATCCGAAGTATCACAATAAAAACGCAATGCATGAAACAGGTTCTGATACATCTAGTTCATAAGTCAAATGCACGGCAATAGAGGACATCTTTTGTAAAACGTTTGTTATTAGCTCCGAATCTTACTATCGACTATTTACCCATACGAAAAAAAAAATAACAGAAAGAAAAAAACTATTTTGTTTTTGTTACTTTGACAGTTCTGATCATAAAAAAGATGACAACATTAGAAACATAACCGCGTTGGAGTATTGAGATTGTTAATGAAAATGACCTAGATGATTTATTACCTTTAATCCGTGCTCATTGTGAATATCATCATCAAGCTGAACAAGTTCCTTTACTTAATGACGATGCTTTTATGTCAGTAGCTCGTGTTCTTATAGCTAATATAAATCAAGAAGGTTTTCAACTTATTGTTCGCGATTTCAAAGACTGAACACCAGTTGGTTTTGCAACTATATACTTGTGTTGGTCTATGATATTCTTATTGCTGAATGAGCACGACGAGCACGTGAACACGGTGCTCTATCTCTAACATGAGAAACTTCAAAAGATAATAAGCGTGCTCAAGCTATCTATGATAGGATTAGAGCATCGAAACATGACAAGTGGTTGTATTATTCAATTCCTTTGTGATATTCTAAGAATAAATTTTAAAACTATATTACGTTTAATCTTAAAGTTATTTTAGTGTTTCTTTTTGTTAAAAATAAGATTATAGTTGATAGAATTAATTAGAATACTCTTATGTTATCAGTTATGTTGATATTTTAAAAATATGAATACTGTAAATTGTAGAATGTTATTCTATTTAGATAATGGATTTACCACGATTTTTACAATTTTTAACAGTATTTTTACTTGTTACTATTTTTCTATTCTCACCTTTTGTTACATTGATTACATTTATTCTTTTATCATGGTTTTGGTCTTTACCTATGACTCTTACAATATGTTGTATATATGGTTGTTGGGTCTATTTTGATCGTCACACAGATTCAGAAGGAGGTCGATGGTCTGATCTATTTCGTCGATTGCCTATTTTTACACAATTTGTAAATTATTTTCCTCTTAAATTAATTAAAAGTGAAGATCTTGATTCAAATCGAAATTATATATTTGGTTTTCATCCACATGGTGCATTTTCTCTAAGTGCAATGGGTAATTTTGGTACAGATGCTACATATTTCTCAACTCTTTTTCCAAATATTCGACCACATTTGATGCTTCTTCATCTTCAATTTCTATTTCCATTTACACGTGAAATATTTCTTAATTTAGGCAAATGAATATTTCATATACGTAATTCAATAGAACTATTTTCGATCATTTTTAGGTGCATGTTGTGTATCAAAGGATAGTTGTGAGTATTTGTTAAGTGGAAAATCTGGTCAAGGTAATGCATTAGTCATCATCATCGGTGGCGCACGTGAGATGTATCTTACAAAAAATGATACTATGAAATTGTATTTAAAAACTCGACAAGGTTTTGTTAGACTAGCATTAAAACATGGGTAAGATTGATTAATAAGCAAATAATAATTTTTCGTCTTTAGTGCTTCATTAGTACCTGTGATTTCATTTGGAGAAAATGAACTTTATCGACGATATACTTATTTTAATTTACTTGGCAATGGTATGCCTTGGGGACGACTCCTTCTTTGGCATATACCACTTCAACGTCCTGTAGTTACTATTGGTAAGATATAACTAATATTCTGATTTATATATAAAGCAAAACAAACTGTTTTGCATATAGTTGGCAAACCAATTCATGTTAAACAAAATGTTAATCCAACTTCTGAAGACATCGATCAACTTCATAATGAATATATTCAAGCTGTAGAAGAACTTTTTGAAGTGAACAAACATAAATATAAATTAGGACATGTAAAACTAGAAATTGTCTAGCTAAAGAAATGAAAACATATGAGAAAAACGTATTTTAAAGAATTAATCTATCAATAAATGATGAGAATAGTCATAGTCAACGAATTGTAATGAGTACAGTTTTTAGAAAATAAACCCTAATCACAAGCATTAATTCGCATTCTATTGGTTCATATGTACTAGAGTTATGATTTAGATATCATCTATCTCTTGTAGTCATCTTATCTCAACTGCATCTTGACATAAATGTTTTTGCGCAACTCTTCAATCGAAAGATCAATGATGTAGTTATCTCCAGTGTGAATTTTATTAGAAATCACTTTGAAATAACTGAGATATTGTCTTGTCATTAAGAATGTCTTTTGAAGAGCAATTGCTGATTTCCAGTAAGATGAATTTTTTCCTCAATATATTCGATTGATTCATTTAAAAATTTTAGTAGAAAGTTCCTATGAGACAATGAGTGTGTTAATTACTAAGGCTTTGTCTCTGTATCACGAACTTTCATGATAATAAAGTATACATATAAAACTGCCTTTAGCTCTAGAAAAAGAAATAGTAGTAGCTCGTAGAATAACAATATGAAAAATGAAAACTTTTAAAGTGTATAGCTTCGCTGTATATGTTTCTTCATAGGGGAAAGAAACTGTGTGAATTATAACTCCAATATATTATCGTAAAGAATAGTCGGATATCATGGGACAACTTACTTTTGTTCATGATTGTCAACTATTAGTCTTATATGCAAATTAAAGTATTTAGCGGATTTATCTTTTGAAACTCGAAAACATTATTCTTTTGTTTATGCTAAATTATCTATTATCTTCAAACATGATTATTCGATAAAAAATTGAATTTTTATAAATGTACAGAATATAAACTAAAAATTGCATTCAGAAGTTATCATTAGTTCTAAAACAATATCAATATTTATTATTCTTACATATAGTATCAAAGAACTTTCCGAAAACGATATATATATATATATATTATCGGCTTAGAATAGTATTATGCAAGTGTATAGAATATCAAGTGTTATCGCTCTAACTTTAGTAAAAAAAAAAAAAGACTATGATAATATTACAACAGTCTTTATTAACCACTGGCAAATGATGACCTCTATGCTTTATTGATAGAGATTTTCTGCAACGAATATAATGAATAAGATAATTGTTCTATATTTATATTCTTGTAATAGAGCATTACTATTTGCTGTGAAAGTGCTCGATGAACATGTTTGAAAAGTTTAATAAAAAAACAAATGAATAATTTTATTATTTAAGGCGATAATATGATGTAGAATTCTACAGTTCATTTGAAGTATGTAAATATAATGATCTATCAAGATTTCAATAGATAATATAAACCGATAGCTTAATGAAACATTGATTTTTATATCAGCCGTGAAAAATTACATAGAAATCGATAGATTGCGTTCGGCAAAATGAATTTGACACTATTCAAAGTTCAACTCATATCCGCCAGGAAGTTGGATTAAGTTTCTGGATTCTAATGCAGATTGATATAATCAATAATTAATGAGATACATATGAATATATTAATAGTTAACTTCTTATTTTCATTGAATATCACATATCTACGTACTTTCTACTATTCCAATTATTTTACTTTGTGTATTTATATAAATATTTTTTGTATTCTTAGTATTAATCTTGAGTAAAGTTGTTGACTCTTTTTTGATTGTCATATAATGACTCTATATCATAGTTCAATAGTCTATTTGATTAGGTATTTAGAAATGACTTTTTACATTATTTTCTTAAATCGATAGAAACTGAAGATTTCATCCAGATTGAAATTATATATTTGATTTTTATTTACATAGAAAGTTAGCTTTGTATTATTGAGGTACAAATAATAGGTTTTCTTTTTTTCGTCTTGCTTTCAGTTTTTATTCTCATTTATAATTGATCCGTTTGTTAGCTTACGTGAATAATTAACATTCATGACCGAACATACATACTGTTTGTTTTCTAGATGCATGCTGTGTATTGAGTGAATATTTAAGATACCTACTGAGTAGAAAATATGATCGAAGCAATTCATTAATTATTGTTCTTAGTGAAGTTCATATAACCCGAAATGATACTATGATATTTTATATAAAGTGAAGAAAGGATTTTATTCGACTATCATTAAAATATCGTTAGATTTTTTTTTGGACACCAATATATATTTTCTGTTATTGTTTTGAGTGTTTTCTTTGAAAAAAAAACTCCTTTCCCAAAAACGCACTTGTTGTAATTTGATTTCCTATAGTCGATTTATTATTGGCCACATACAGCTTCGATATCCTGTGGTCATTTTTGATAAGATATAACCGTCAATCCTAACTTAATATAAACTATAACAATATAGTCTTAGTCGGAGAAGAAAATTCATATAAAAAAACAATATCAATTCAATTTCTCAATATATCGAACAAGTGTATAATGAATATACATAATTATATTTAATCGAAAAATTGTTTAAAGATAACAAGTAGAAAAATAATTTAGAACATGTCGAACTGGAAATCATTCAGATAATGTAATCATTAACAATAAAAACGACAATATTCTTGTTTAAAGTACCATCAATCAATTATCGATCAATAATGAGAATGATGACATTGAGCAACTTGCACAGCACAAGCTATTAGACTCATATGCCGACTAACATTCATTCACACTATGACATAATATATATATAGTTGATTGAGCTTTTTTTCTATGTGTACACATATAAATATGGATAAAATGACTGAGCTCTTTGAGCCGAATATACGCGTGTGGTGTATAGTTGACACGCCAATGATTCAAGGTCTATATATACAACATACGCAATCATTGTCAAATATAATGAGGAGAACAAAAGTAGGATATCATATCTCGTTTTCTCACATATTGTTCTATCTTACAGTTCATATTTGTTTTTAATGTACTAGATCATTACCGGCTTTTCTCTTTCATTATTGATAATAGACTGGTCAACTAAAAGTATGTTACATCATGCTCATTTGCACCTCATCGAGACCAAATCAATTCTTCCAGCAGCAGTAACTGAACCCTTGATAACAATAGATTAATATATATATCGATTATGGTTGAAGGCAAATAAACGAGCAAAAAAAGAAAAACTTTGTTTGTATGTTATCTCATCATATTGCCGTTAGTTATATATCATTGTGTCGAAACTGGTATATTTTTATATGAATATATATATTATTTCGTTAAACGTTAATAATAAACAAACAAACAAACCAACAAGCAAACAAAGCCCATTCACACGCACACATAATTAAAGTTTATAAAATGATTATGAAAAAGAAAAAAAGAAAAAAACAAGAAAAGAAAACTCATGTCAACTCACACATCGGTTGTTGTGCCAGTTTCACTTGCTGATTCAATTCTATTTGCTTTTAAATTATCATAAGCATCATCAGCTGGAAATGGTCGATGTTTATTATCTTGATCATAGAATTTTTTCTTTTTTTTTAATGTAATATGTTTATAAATAGCAAGTGTAATTATCATGAATACAATAAGAATAAAAGTAAATATAATAAGTATAATAATTGTTCGAAGTATATCATTAAATAATGAACGTTGTTGATGAATAATAATTGTTTTATTATCATTTAATTGTTTTGAATGAAAATATTTTTTAAGAAAATATTCTTTCCATTCATTTTCATTCTCAATTAAAATTGAATCATTTTCAATTGAATCTAATGGAGATTCAATATTAATTTTAGCTGAAAAAAGAACAATATTATCATTTTGTTCTTTTTTTGTTTGATTAATTAATAATGATTCGTATTTATATAAAATACAATCATAATCAATAATTAAATGTTGTGAATAAATTTGTGTTTGTTTTAACCATGAACATATTGATGAATCCATAAGAATACATTGAATAGATATTGAACATGTACGATGATTATTACACGATAAATAATATTTATTAAGACGTTTTTGACATTCACTTCGTGAACAACCATTACCTGTATAAAAAGTAGCTGAACGTAATTTAATAACAAAATTTAATGGACATGTTAGAAGACGTGTTGTATTATTATTTGTTGTCTTCTCATTTGAACAACAACTTTCAAATTCATAATTCCATGATGGTGATATATGAATAAAGATAAAAATAAAAAAATAAAATAATATTCGTTTAATCATTTCAATTTTTTAATAAACATCTACAATGAATATAAATATCTTGTTTCAATAATATAAACTTAAAAATTGTTGTATAGAATATATAATACATACGTGAAAATGTTGAAGTATAAGAAGTCTTTCGTTCTTTCATTTTCTTTTTTCTTTTATATATATATATATATATCTATATATATTTTTTATTTGAATTTATTCAAGTGTCTATTCTGCATGAGTATCCGCATAATTCTCTCGTCTTTCATAAGATGAACATTTGATGGGGATCAGTTCTCTGTTCTTATTCGTTATGAACGGTAACAAACACAATTGTATTTTTTTTTCTCGTTCTTTTTCTTGCATGGTATTGCATTGATGGTAACAACAACAATACCAGCAGTGGAGCATCCAGGGATTAAATGATCTCTCTTTCTCTTTTCTTTTTTTTTTGTTCTATGGATTGGTGATAGGTGTATACATATATAGATTCTGTTGCTGATAGAGCTTCTTTCCTTGATTATATGAACATTACGACCATACGCCTGACAACCCTTTTTATATGTATATTCAACATACGGCACTTTTTTACTGATGGACATTCAAGGTTATGGCCGTGAGCATGTTTATTCTCATAAAGTGTTGATGATACTGAAAGAAAAAAAAACAAGTTTCAATCATCATCATCATCATTCAACAAAACGTCCATTCATTGTATCAGTGATTGCACTTGGTCTATTATATATTCGAGTTGTATTAAATAGTTGAATGACATATACATATGTATCCATTGTTACCATAGATGTGATGTTAAAATGATACATCTTGATTGTATTATGAATGAATTATATTAACTTT